TGAGTAAGGATTCAACTTTGATTTCTAATTTCAGATGGTATTGTTCTTTTTTTTACATTACTTAAGTATTTGATTTTCTTTTATATGATGTTGCATTTTTTTTTTCGAAAATAAAAAAAGAAAAAAAGGAAATGCGAAGAAGGATCACTAAAATTGCAACAAGAAGTTCTCAATAATTTTGTTTTCAAAAATATAGGTTTTCTTGAAAATACTTATCAATTAAATGAAAACTCACAATGAAAATCTTGATAATGAAAAATAATAATCAAATCCTCATTTAGATATTTATGATCCTAAAATTTGGGATAATTTTGATAATAAAATAAGGGACATTTTAGTTGAAAAAGAGACTTATAAGAGAAATAACTATTGATTTTTCCTTGGATAACACTTCTAGTTATTTTTTGCATGCTTATTATTCTAAGAAGTTAAATAATGGTGAGGCTAGTAATATAAGATGGTTGTTACAAAGTATATTGATTTTGTTGCAAGTTATTCAAGTATGACAATAATAAAAGTTGTTAGAAAATAATGGCTTAAGAGATTGGAGGCATGTTAGTAAGAGACTTAAAAATCATGAGATCAATTTTGAACATATGACTGATATGAACAATTAGAATCATTTGAGAGTAAGATTAGATAAAAATGAAACAAATGATGAAAACTTGCAATGAAAGAGTATGAAAGAAAAAAAAAAGATAAGTCTTGGTTAGAATATTTTCAATTGTGAAATGTCTTGCTAGAAATAATTTGACTTTTCAAGGATCTAATAAAAAAAATTATTTCAAAATAGTAATAGAAATTTATTGAAATTAGTTAAAATTATTGCGAAACTTGATCTGATAATGCAAGATTATGTTGGATATAATCAAAGTCGTGAAATTTATTACCATTATCTTGGTCTTGGGCATAAAATACAAAATAAGTTAATATCCTTCTTGGCTCGTAGTATTAAAAATTTCATCATCAAAATCATTTAAGTAGTAATAAAATAATTGTACCATGATGTGAATCACCGACAATAAATGACTCTAATTGTAAGATGTGTAAATATGTCAAATAATAAAATAAAAATTAAGAAGTATTTTTTAAAAATTTTAAAAGTAGATAACACATTTGGTGAGACTTTTTAATGAGTTACTAATTGTGTTAAAAATTCTTAATCTTAATATTAATGATGTGAGGGATCAAGGTTATGATAATAGTTCTAATATAAAAGAAAAATACTAAAATTTAAAACTATACCTTGTGAGTTTACTAGATGCGAAATTCCTAAAAAATAATATCATTTTTTTATTGAAGGATATATATATATATATATTATATTTCATAATTCTTGTTATAAGTATATTATTTTTATTCTATAATAATCCATTTATTGTATTTGGAAAATTAAAGTTCATAATACTTATTATAAGTATATTATTTTTACTCCATATTAATTTATTTATTGTGTTTGAAAAATTAAATCTTATAAATTTGGCTCAAATAAATATTTAGTTCATAAAATAATGTTATTTTATTTTTAAACCTCTTAATTTCAATTGTTTCTATTTTGGTTCTTTAAATTTTTAGTTAATTTTGTTTTGCTCATCTAGAATTTTGATCCAATAACTTATCGACTTTATTATTTTGATTTTTATAAATTTTTCCCTTCTTTTCAATAGATTTAACGTGATAAAAGTAAAATAATTTTATTATATGAATGAAAATTGGAAAATAATTTAAAATGGATTAAACACAAAACACTCTTATTTTACTGGAATTAAAAGTTATTTAAGTCACAATATTAATATAACAAATATTGAATTTATCCTAAAGAATATATTGGGTAAAGTTGGAAGTGGCTCATTAATATCTCCAACACTAAATATGAGGTTAAAACTGCATAAAATATTATTGTAATTGAAGGTACGGCGTGGGCCAGTGTCTAGTGGAAGATTAGGATCACCATAAAATTCAATAGGACTGCTGGCAGAGTAGAAATATGAAAAATCTCTTTCAAAGGTTTTCGTTTTTTGTGCCTTTAACAAAGTGCAGAAAATCATTGCTTGCTGCACATGACTCTCCAACATATCATACATCACAAATATATGCAAATCGATTTTATTTTATTATTTTAAATACAAATATAAATATAATATAATGGATTTTGTTTTATTTTCTTTTTATTTACTATTTTATTTAAAGATATTAGATAAATTAAAAAAATTAAACTGCCAACACTACTACTTGTGCTGTTTTTTTTTTTTTTTTTACATTACTCATTTTAAAATATATTTCATGAACAATAATAATAAAAATTAATAATCTTATAAATATGTAGTCAATTAAATTTAAAATCATTCATAATATTTTATTTTATGGATAATTATATACATTACTACTGAGCTGTATTTTGTATATATAAATATTTTTAAAATTATATAAAATAATCAAGAGATATTAACGATGAAAATATTAATGAGTGAAATAAATGATTAATCATGATTTTTTTTTTTGAGTAACTGAAGTTGTAGACTACGTTAAAAAACTAATGATAAATCGAAAGATAATTAAGAGACAATGCTTAGATAATGATTTTTAATCTTATTTTGTTTACGGTAATAAACAATAGAGACTCATAAATTTTTATCTAATAGTTTTAAGTTCGTTTAGTTTTTATTTTTTATTTATACTTTTAATGTAATATTTTTTTTTAATCTTTTTGTGCAGGAAATAATTATATTCTTTGTTTTGGTAATGAATAATTTTTTTTATCATTATTATTATTATTTTTATATTAAATTTGATTAATGTTGTAAATTATGTACCATCTAATTAATCAATTTAATGTACTATTATTATTGTTATTGAGGTATGAATTAATAAAAATAAAAAATTATAATAACATACATCCTTATAAATTTGAACGGGCTTTTATTATGATTGTTAGGATATTATTATTAACTTATCATATTATCTAAATTGTGTAACAATTATCATTATTGTAATTAATTTAAATATTTGTTAAAAATAAACATAAAAATATATAATTGATTGTTGTAGTTGTAGTAACTAATAATTTTAAATTGTACATGTTTCCTTTGTCAAGGTACATATATATCCATCCAAATTCACAAATACAGAAATTACTTTTTTTTATTTTTTTTTATTTTTTTTTTAATTTTAAGGATATGCTGGCTATTTTATAGTTTTTTATTATTATTATGAATATGCTATTTTATAATTGATTGTTTCCAATAATAATACATTGAGTATGTGCTTACCAAATTTTACGTTTCATGCAATAGTAGTAGTAGTAGAATTTTAGTTAATTATAAATCTTATAATTTTTAATTATTATGAAAACAAACCTTAAATAATAATAAATAATAATTATGTATCATAAATATAAATCTGGAGTACTTAATAATAGTGTACTTATTAATATCATTATCTTTTTTTTCCTTCTCATTATTTTATGGAGGTAAAATAATACTGTCTTTTTAAATTTACTATAATGAAGAAAAAAAAAATAGTCTGATTTTAATTGAATACAAGAATAATTTTATTCGAGTGTTTAATAAACACTAAATAAATGACTTTTTTAATTTGAATTTTTTTTTATATCTGTATTTATAAGAGTCATGATTTGAAATTTAACAACTTATAAATAATAAATTTTATAGATAAATATCCTTATAATAGTTAAATTATCCAATATAATTTCTAAATTATATAATAATCCTTAAAGTTAGATAATAATAATAATAATAATAATAATAATAATAAATTTTTAATATCAATTATAAATTAATAAAAACTTTATTTATTGGTATATTTTCTTGTATTCAATATATATATTCTTGTTATAAAAAAAGCCATGGTTATTTCATCTAGTTAAATTAATTTGTAAATTCAAGTGTTCAACTATACACATAAATATCAATTATAATTTCAAAAAAATATTTAGTGTTATTAATGTTATTATTAATTAATGTTATTATTAATTATTAATTGACCTAAAATTTTTAAGAAAGTTATCATTATATTAAAAAATTTCATTATTAAGGTTTGTTCTTTAATATATTTATATAATGCAATGATATAATGGCATAAACATGATCTATCTGTTTCACCCTCTTTATTTTTTTAAAAAATAAAATCTATTTCACTCAAAACACATAACCACTCATTAGTGGGCTGTGGGCAAGAAGTGAAACGAAATGAGAAAAGAAAAGGTAACAAATGTTGCATTGAGTACCAAGAAGGTGATGAAATAACGGGACAGTTTCAACGCCAGACCATTTTTGAAAGATGAGAGTCATGGATTGTGCTTTTTTATTTTACAGTTTTATAAGTATCCCAGGTCTTGTTGAGAAAATCATGCGGGTTTTGGTGACTGTAACGTAGAGGTGTAACTGAATGCAGATATTGTTACCGTTTATAACTTGATAATCATTGTTTTTAAAACAAGAATTAAAATTCATAAAAATCATCTGTGGACAATAATTAAGAAACTGATATTTAGTTAGAATAATAGTAATAATAATAATAATAATTTTGATTCACAGTGTTGATGTGAAGCAATGAAGAATAACGGGTAAAATGGAGAATGGCATGATGACACATGAAAAATGCATGTGCATCCCATCCACATGATGGATGATGCATCATGGGGAGGGAGAGAGTGTAAAGGTAATGATTACGAATGGGGAGATGATGGAAAAGAAAAGAAAATAAAAAGAAAACGAAAAGAGCTCCACAGGACTGCGCAGCCATAGCCGCCATTTCCTCTTTCCTTGGTTTCTCTATTTTTTCTGCTCATTATTGCTTTTGTTAATTTGCACAATGAAAGAAGAATAGATAAAGACATAAAAATAATTTAAATTTAATTAAATAGTGTTGTTCAGATTTTGAAGAGAAGAGAGAGAAAAAGGCGAAATAAAAAAGGTGAAAAGAGGAGGTATTTAAAGCCGAGGAGAGGGTTCACAAGAAGTGTAGGGGTGTTGCTCTGGTTTTATGGAAACCCCCCCCAAGATTTAAGCGCTCTTGAAAAAGCTGGAATTTGGTAACTCCTATATAAATAGGGATTGGATTGTTGGGTGTGTAAGTGCAGCATGGCTTGTGCGATGGTTGTGAATGTGAGAGAGTTCGACCCAAGTAAAGACAGAGAGAGTGTGGAAGCCGTTGAGAGAATATGTGAGGTTGGACTCAGTGGAAAGGTTTCCCTCTTCACGGACCTCCAGGGTGACCCAATTTGCAGGGTCCGCAATTCACCTACTTTCCTCATGCTGGTATCTATCTATCTTATTATATATATATATATATATTCAACCTCTTTTATTTCCTTTGCCTCACCTACTGTCTTTATCAGGTAGCCCAAATTGGGCAAGAGACTGTAGGAATGATAAGAGGGTGCATCAAAACCGTTACATGCGGAAAGAAGCGAAACAAGCTGCCCATATACACCAAACTCGCTTACATACTAGGCCTCCGTGTGTCTCCAAACCACAGGTCACTTTATATTCTATTTATACGAGTTTAAGTGTGTGGGGTTATTAGTCCTCACTCCTCATTGGGTGTGTGCGTGTGCAGGAGAATGGGCATAGGGCTGAAGCTGGTGCAGAGAATGGAGGAGTGGTTCAGAGGCAATGGAGCGGAGTACGCCTACATGGCAACGGAAAAGGACAATGTCGCATCCGTTAAGCTCTTCACCCACAAATGCGGCTACAACAAGTTCCGTACCCCCTGCATCCTCATCAACCCCGTTTACGCTCACCCACTCAAGACCTTCTCCAACAAAATCACCATAATCCCACTCGCCCCACACGACGCCGAGTTTCTCTACCGCAACAAATTCGCCACCACTGAGTTTTTCCCGCGCGACGTCGACGCCGTTCTCACCAACCACCTCACTCTCGGAACCTTCCTGGCCGTTCCGCGCGCCTCTTTCTGGGCTGACACGTGGCCCGGCTCGGCCCGCTTTCTGGCGGACCCACCTTCCTCCTGGGCCCTCCTCAGCGTCTGGAACTGCAAGGACGTGTTCACGCTCCAGGTGAAAGGCGCTTCGCGCGTGAAGAAGACGCTCGCCAAGACCACTCGCCTCCTCGACAAGGCCTTGCCCTGGCTGCGTCTGCCTTCTATTCCGAATTTCTTTAAGCCCTTTGGGTTTCACTTTTTATACGGGCTTGGAGGGGAGGGCCCGGAGGCCCACAAGATGGTGCGGGCTTTGTGCGCCTTCGCGCACAACCTCGCCAAGGACCGTGGCTGCCAGGTTGTGGCCACTGAGGGTTCGAGCCGCGAACCCCTACGCTGCGCCATCCCGCACTGGAAGAGGTTCTCCTGCGACGAGGATTTGTGGTGCATCAAGAGACTCGGGGAAGATTACAGCGATGGCTCCCTTGGTGATTGGACCAAATCTCCTCCTGGATTCTCAATTTTCGTTGATCCTAGAGAGGTTTAATTTTACCAACTAATTACAACTTCAGAAACAAAAAATAAAAAAAATCTGATCTTTTAGTTATACCTGTAAGGACTAAGGAGGGTTCTTTTTTATTATTATTTTTTTTTATGTAAAGAAAGAAGGAATATCCTATCTCTCTCTTTGTTTTGTTTAAATTTTGTAAATGGTTAGTAAAATGGATGTGGGTTCTATATCCCTTTTGTTTGATGTCTTAAGGGTTTGTTAGAGTAGTATATTTTGATGTGTTTGATAATATGGCGCGGGTGGGGGACCTTAACTTTGTTTTATTGAGTTCCTAGTATCTTTCTTATTGAGGGTAGTAGGAATCAAATGGTGCCCATTAAGTCTGAGCCTAAGCCTCCTAATATAGCCAATTATCCTTTTCCACGTTATCTCAATACCCACCCCCTCCATCCATTGGGGGAAGACATTACCTCGACACATGGATTCATCATGGGACATGCTGTCTTGTATCTACGTATAAACTTCTACCTTCTTCCTTACTTTTTTTTTTCTTTTTTCACAGGAGAATTCAATGGTAACTTCCTCACCTTAGCCTTTTTTTTTTCTGCGTTATTTATGCAGGGAAGATGGAGGTTTTTTTTAATTATTATTATTTAACTAGAAAGACATTTCGTGTTAATAAAAGAAAAAAAAAGAAGTTAATTTTGATAGAATCAACATTTACTTAAGAAAATTGAAAGTGGTTAAAAAGTAATTTATGATGGTAAAATTTTAAAAAAAAATGCGTACATGAAAAAGTGTATAACATTTATGCAGTTTTATAAATTATGTGGACTGGACCTGCAATTAGCTTTTGAAACAACCAAGAATAACACATTTGGTTTCACTTAGGCATGACAATCTAACTTGTCCCTCGTGCGTATTTGTCTGAGCTTGTCCTGATTTAAATGAGGGAAATTTATGTTTATCGGGTTTGGGTTCGGATTTGGGTTTTTCCCGATTGATAAAATCGGGAGTGGGGGCAGAGGTGAGGATGTTAATACCCACCCCACCCTGTCCCTGTCCCGCTTGATAATATAATTAAAAAATTATTTGTATATATATATAAACCAAAATTATAAATATTTATATGTAAAAATTTATATTATTTTACTTTTCTTTTATTTTTTTTAAAAATTATTCATATTTATTAAAAAAAAGAAAAAAAAATAGGAACGGGGCAGGGAAACCCGAACCCCGCCAGGACAGGGATGAGAACCCAGATTTTATTCTCAGCGGGTATCGGGGACAGGTGTGGGGGCGGTTTAAATTTGCAGGAGCCCCGCCCCGTTGTGATGCCTAGTTTCACTCGTAATGGCAGTTTCTAAATCATGACTAAAGAGGTTTTGAACAGATTTCGTGCACTAATTTTTATTTTATTTTTTAATAATGCAGCAAAGGCTTTGTACATGCTAACGAAACTTATAGAGGCCCATAAACTAAAGGCAAGATAAACTTTAACACTAAACCTTTTCTCATCTACACAAAATCATTTTTAAGGAAGAATATTTGTTTCACGCTAAATTGTATAACAATTATCATTATTGCAATTAATTTAAATATTTGTTAAAAATAAACATAAAAATATATAATTGATTGTTGTAGTTGTAGTTACTAATAATTTTAAATTGTACATGTTTCCTTTGTCAAGGTACATATATATCCATCCAAATTCACAAATACTCAAATTATTTTTTTTTTCAAAATTTAAGGATATGCTGGCTATTTTATAGTTTTTTTTTATTATGAATATGCTATTTTATAATTGATTGTTTCCAATAACAATACATTGAGTATGTGCTTACCAAATTTTACGTTTCATGCAATAGTAGTAGTAGTAGAACTTTAGTTAATTATAAATCTTATGATTTTTAATTATTATGAAAACAAACCTTAAATAATAATAAATAAGAATTATGTATCATAAATATAAATTTGGAGTACTCAATAATAGCGTAGTTATTAATACCATTGTCTTTTTTTTTCCTTCTCATTATTTTATGGAGGTAAAATAATACTGTCTTTTTGAATTCACTATAATGAAGAAGAAGAAAAATAGTCTGATTTTAATTGAATACAAGTAGGGATGGGAATGGGCCCCATAGGGGTGGGTAATAGTAAATCTGCTCCTGTCTTGCTAGATAAAAATTGTCCTCATTCCCATCTCATATCCGCGCGGGTATCCATTGAGCGAGTATTCATGATTTTCTTGAATATCCATGTTTTTCTTGAATATCCATGTGGATATCCATGAATATTTATAAATTTTTTAAGAAATTAAAAAGTTTATATTATAAAGAATTATATTTAAAGTCATTGAAATATTAAAAATAAAAATTTAATGTTAATTTTGAACTTGTATTTAACGTTAATTTTGTTGAAATAATAATAAAAATGTAAGATAATCAATGACTTAAAATATATCAATCTCAAAAGTAAGTTAAAGTCTCATCACAAAGTTACAATAATTCAATCTCATAATTCTAAACGAAAGTAAACAACTTAAAATACATAAATTTTATTGGTCCAATCAAAGCTAGAAAATTAATCAAATTATATCCAACATAATTCTATAACATGTTTAACACATGTTGATAACTTCATCAACCTCACTTATATATCATAAAGATGAGAGAGTGTAGTTTTAAGGTTATGTGGTACAAGAATAATTAGGATATTTAAGAAATATTATTAAACGGGTACCCGCAAGTATGGATATCATCATACCAGCCCCCGCCCCATTTATAAACGGGTAAAAAATTATCTGTCCCCATTATTCGCGGACACCTAATTAGCCTATCTATTTATTATCCGTAGCGGATTTTACCCGCAAATACTCGCAGGTACGAGTATTTTTGTCATCCCTAAATACAAGAATAATTTTATTCGAGTGTTTAATAGACACTAAATAAATGATTTTTTTTAATTTGAATTTATTTATTTATTTTTATATTTTTATTTGTAAGAGTCATGATTTGATATTTAACAACTTATAAATAATAAATTTTATAGATAAATATCCTTATAATAGTTAAATTATCCAATATAATTTCTAAATTATAAAATAATCCTTAAAGTTAGATAATAATAATAATAATAATAATAATAATAATAATAATAAATTCTTAATATCAATTATAAATTAATAAAAACTTTATTCATTGGTATATTTTCTTGTATTCAATATATATATTCTTGTTAAAAAAAACCATGGTTATTTCATCTAGTTAAATTAATTTGTAAGTTCAAGTGTTCAACTATACACATAAATATCAATTATAATGTAAAAAAAATATTTAATGTTATTATTAATTATTAATTGACCTAAAAATTTTAAGAAAGTTATCATTATAATAAAAATTTTCATCATTAAGGTTTGTTCTTTAATATATTTATATAATGCAATGATATAATGGTATAAACATGATCTATTTGTCTCACCCTCTTTATTTTTTAAAAAATAAAATCTATTTCACTCAAAACACATAACCACTCATCAGTGGGCTATGGGCAAGAACTGAAACTAAATGAGAAAAAAAAAGGTAACAAATGTTGCATTGAGTACTGAGAAGGTGATGAAATAAAGGAACAGTTTCAACGCTAGACCATTTTTGAAAGATGCGAGTCATGGATTCTGCTTTTTTATTTTACAGTTCTGCTTTTTTATTTTAGTTTTATGAGTATCCCAGGTCTTGTGGAGAAAATCATGCTGGTTTTGGTGACAGTAACGCGGAGGTGTAACTGAATGCAGATATTGTTACCGTTTACAACTTGTTAATCGTTGTTTTTAAAACAAGAATTAGAATTCATAAAAATCATCTGTGGACAATAATTAAGAAACTGATATTTAGTTAGAATAATAGTAATAATAATAATAATAATTTTGATTCACAGTGTTGATGTGAAGCAATGAAGAATAGCAGGTAAAATGGAGAATGGCATGATGACACATGAAAAATGCATGTGCATCCCATCCCACATGATGGATGATGCATCATGGGACCGAAGCGAAGAAGGAATTGAAGAGGGAGAGAGTGTAAAGGTAATGATTAGGAATGGGGAGATGATGGAAAAGAAAAGAAAATAAAAAGGAAAAGAAAAGAGCTCCACAGGACTGCGCAACCATAGCTGCCATTTTCTCTTTCCTTGGTTTCTCTACTTTTTTTTTGCTTATTAATATTATTGCTTTTGTTAATTTGCACAGGGAAAGAAGAATAGATAAAGACATAAAAATAATTTAAATTTAATTAAATAGTGTTGTTCAGATTCTGAAGAGAAGAGAGAGAAAAAGGCAAAATAAAAAAGGTGAAAAGAGGAGGTATTTAAAGCCGAGGAGAGGGTTCACAAGAAGTGTAGGGGGGTTGCTCTGGTTTTATGGAAACCCCCCCCCCCCCAAGATTTAAGCGCTCTTGAAAAAGCTGGAATTTGGTCACTCCCATATAAATAGGGATCGGTGTGTAAGTGCAGCATGGCTTGTGCGATGGTTGTGAATGTGAGAGAGTTCGACCCAAGTAAAGACAGAGAGAGTGTGGAAGTCGTTGAGAGAATATGTGAAGTTGGACCCAGTGGAAAGGTTTCCTTCTTCACGGACCTCCACGGTGACCTAATTTGCAGGGTCCGTAATTCACCTACTTTCCTCATGCTGGTATCTATCTTATTATATATATATATATATATTCAACGTCTTTTCTTTCCTTTGTCTCACCTACTGTCTTTATCAAGTAGCCCAAATTGGCCAAGAGACTGTAAGAATGATAAGAGGCTGCATCAAAACCGTTACATGCAGAAAGAAGCAAAACAAGCTCCCCATATACACCAAACTCGCTTACATACTAGGCCTCCGTGTGTCTCCAAACTGCAGGTCACTTTATATACTATTTATACATCACTCCAAGAGTTTAAGTGTGTGGGTTATTAGTCCTCATTGGGTGTGTGCGTGTGTAGGAGAATGGGCATAGGGCTGAAGAAACTTTAGCACTAAACCTTTTCTCATCTACACAAAATCATTTTTAAGGAAGAATGTTTGTTTCTCGCTACATTTGTTTATTCTTGTCAAATTTTAAATTACTTGACATAAATAGTATAAAATAAACTATTTTTCCATAGCTGTAAAAATAAATATTAAAAACAATGGAATAGTCATGGTTCTTTTAAAACAACCGTGAAGAATTAAAAACTGTGAGCTGAAAATTACCATGAGGTGT